AGATTATTGACATGTTCCTCCCAACACAGCTTACTGTCTAAATAAATACCAAGAAGTTTTACAGGTTTTAATAAATAATTATCATCTAATACTAGATTTAGCTGACTGCTTAAAGTAAATACAATGTGTTCTGTTTTACTTTCATTAACATTTAATTTGTTTGCTAAAAACCATGATTTTGATTCCTCCATAGCTATTTGTAGTCTGTGTTGAACAGTGAAAAAATCTACATCAGAATGTATAAGGGTGGTGTCATCCGCATACAAAACAGACATCACAGAAACATTTGAACTGTAGTCATTAATAAAAACTAAAAATAAAAAAGGGCCTAGGACAGAGCCTTGCGGCACTCCGACTGTAACTTGTAGGAAATCAGAATCATTATTATTACAACTAACCATTTGCTTTCTATTGCTTAAATAACTTTGGATCAGATTCAACTCTTTATCAACAATACCATAATGCTTTAGCTTATTACACAGAATATCATGCGAGACTGTATCAAAAGCTTTGCTTAGATCCACTAAAACAGAACTTACTACTTGTTTTTTCTCAAAACCATTTAAAACAAAATCCACAATCCTTTCAATTGCATCTGTTGTTGAAAGGTTAGGTCTAAAACCAAATTGAGAAGGATAAAAGAGGCTATTGCTGACAAAATACTCATTAAGTTGGGTTACAATGCATGTCTCAATAATCTTGCTCAATATGGGAACAATCGCTACTGGCCTATAGTTCTCTGGTTGGTTTACATCGCCCTTCTTATAAACAGGTATTACTTTGGTAGCTTTCAAGCAATCAGGAAAACATCCAGTGGCAAGAATTGAATTTACGATAAAAGTCAAAGGCTGCAATATTACATCAACAATGTTCCTCAACAAAAAGTTTGACATTCCATAGACATCTTCTGAACGAGAATTGCTCAGTTTACTAACCACAGACAATATTGTTTGTTCATCAACTAGTTTTAGATTAAAATTACTATTACTAGAATCTGTTTTCCTAACACAATTCTTCAAATAATCTGAGTAGTCAAGGTTACTCACATCAAGACTATTGTTTTGCTCTGTAGAAAAATGACTAACATTAACAAAATATTCATTAAGTTGCTTAGATGTAATAGGAATTGTAACATTTGTGTTTATTTCAAGGTTCCCTTCTTTTTTAGTGACTGCCCAAGCAGCTTTACACTGGTTTTTGAAACTAGCTATAAACTTGCTGTTAGCTGCAATTTTGGCCTTGGTAATCTCTTTTCTGTACTGGTTTCTAAAATTTTTAAGACTCAATTTATCCTCTAAACTTTTAGAAATCTTCCATCTGTCATTCATAAGCAGTAGGAGTCTACGCATATTACTCAACTCAGGAGTAAACCAGTTTATTACCTTAGCCTTGCTCTTAGAACTAACAGAGATCTTAGGACAACTAATGTTTAAATAAAAAGAGAAAATATTAAAAAAGACATTTACTGAGCTATTAACTTCATTAGTGTATACTCTTCCCCACTCAGCATCCACCAGAAATTGCTTGAGACAGTTAATTTTACCCTCAGAAAGAAATCGGCATTTTTTAATTTTATTCTCACCTGATTTTTTAAAATCTTTTATACTCAGGTCAGTGCTGAAACTAAAGGTAGTCCATACACCTGCATGGTCAGATAGAATATACTGATCCAGCAATCTAACCTCCACCTGGTCAGACATGACATTAGAGGCTACAACATCAAGACATGAATTGAACCTGGTGAATTCTTCATGAACAAAATATAAATCAAAAGATCTTAAGATATAACTTAATTCTAGGGTGTCATTGTCATGGGATTTGAGAATATCAACATTCAGGTCACCTGCAAGAATTACATATCTAAAAGGCTTAGGACTAGCAGATACCAATTAAACCCCACATATGCTGCTATTTAAGAATTTTTTCTTACTCCTTGTATGCCGTCCCCCTTAAGGGATAAAAAAGTGATAATAGCTTAAAAGAGTAGACATTTATTGTTATTATTCATATACCAAGTCTAATTACTGTATCTATAATGGTAACAAATATATCACACTGTATAGTTTCTTTATGAACGAGTTTACATGTGTGTGTCCTATTTTATACCAAATTTGCTTTATTTTAGGGTAAATAATTTGTATATTTAAGTTTGCTTATACAGTATATACCAAAGGATGATTTTGTGCTTAAAAGTTTGAGAGGTTACTAAAATTAAGATGGACTAAAACAAATTTTTGAGCAATGCTCGGCCATCAGATGTAGATAGTAAATATTTAAATTATGACTGCGATTTGGTGCCTGTACAGAAGTAGTATAACATTTTATTCACTAAACATAATATTGTAATTGAAGTCTTTCAAATAAGTTGAGTATGATTCATTGTAAACTAGAGATAGTAAATTCTACACTAAAATAATTATGCTAGACATAAGGTATGTCTAATCTATAGTTGGTGCTATGTTATGTAAAAAGTCTCTTCAGGTTGATCAAATAACATAAATAGTTGAAAACATGGTTTAACATAATATCCATGTTAAAAAAATATATTAATGTTACAAATTTTAATTTATTGCTGTTCTAAAATTGTAAATGTTATAATTGGTGATGTTAAATTAGATTTTGGATAATGTCCAAAACTTGTGTTTTTTACAAAAGTTTTATCACTCTTTTTATAAGGGGTTTTATTTCAACAAATTTTTTATATTGCAAAGCTAAATAAATAAATTTAGTATCTTTCTGATGTAATTATTTACATGCTCACCCTTTTAACTTCATGATTTGAACTATTTTTTTTTAGTTAACATAATTTTTGTTCAACTTTTTCGGGTTAAATTTTTTAAAGGATCATTACATAAAAATTCATCACTTTGGCACAATGTTAACTGTTAAAAAATATTTCACTACTATATCAAAGTTGTATCTGCGGGTAAATTTAGTGTTACCGATGTTTTTGAAACAATAGTGTATGAAGACAAAAATTGTAAACATTACAGACTAAAAAATGCACTAACAGCGTTTTAAACCTAAAATTTAAACTGCGCTTAAGAAAGCATTAAGAAAAATCAGGACAAAGGACTGACAAAAACAATAATAACAAAAATCTCACACCTGTATTGTTTAGCTAGAATCTTTGAGTTTTAGATACCAAAGTCCAGTTTCTAGTCAAAGCGATCTACGAACGTTTAAAACAAAGACTTCAATAATCCTTAAAAAAAAAACACCACCAAGCAAATACAATTTTACCATTACTAACAATCTATAATATTAAAACGAAACAGTGTTTTTTTATTTCACGATTCTGAATCAACCACTCGACGGATTTTTATGATTTTTGTGTTGAAAGAAAGATAATTTTGAAAACTAGGGAATGTCGAAGCCATAATTTTAGTTTAGGGTCCCAGTTTTTTAGAAATTAAGTTTTAATTTTTAAAAAGTCTAGCAGCCGACGCTAAGATTCTAAACCAGCTTTTGGCATAAAATAATTTGCTTAACATAACAGCTGTAAACATTCAGCTTTTGTGTCACAAATTCAGCATTTGGATACAAATGTAAAGACATACTTAGGGTTGACTTATTTATACTATGTGTAGTGCTAATCATTGATACGTTCAATTCTTCTGTAAGAGGATGACAGATTAGTTAAATATACATAGTAAAATACTAGGATGTTCAAATTATTTTTTAAAGCAATCTTTGTAATCTTCGATTTGTTTTAGAGTAATATAATTTGTTTTAACTAACAGCTGGTTAAATATGAACTATGGAACTATGAGGTTATTTTATTTACTTTTATTTTGTCATTGATTATAGGAAATAAGTAAGATTACAGTAGTAGAGATAATTGGACCACAGTTTAAACCACAGTTTTAACTAAAATTAATTAAACCACAGTACAAATCGAGGCTCTGTACACGAGTCTTAATAAAAAAGGATAAATGCAAATTATTTTACTGCCCCACTTTTCAAGGAAAGATTATAAAAATAACAATGTTTACATGTTTTAATTCTTCATGGTAGCTTTTTGTTTACAATTATGTTTGTCTGATTTAACTTTGTTTGGATTAGGCCCGGAAATATTGATGTTATAAAAAGAAGATCAAGAATAATCAGGAATCACGATTTTAAATTACCACCACAACCTCAGCCAGGGGAAAAAAATAAAAAAAGATGGATGCCATAGATTTAACACAACGTCAACATTGACCTAGGATACTGCGATTAGACAAACCATCCTTTTATGAAATCGTGTCCAGTTGTGGTTACGTTTAGGGGGCGCCATATCACTTTTATTTCAACTATGAATATATTGTAGTTTAAATTAACTAATATGGGAAATTACGATGTACGTTTATTCAATGAGGGAGGGTAATTATCAAGGATAGAACTGATAACGGTATGGATAATAAACATTGACAATTACGTCATTAGCTTTACTAGCGTGTTTACTTTTTATATTCCAGTTTTTTTTCTTCAAATGAATGTTATTTGAACCAAACAGCTGTTTCAAAACAAACTGTTATTGTTTTTACTTTTCTTTGTTTACACTTATTTATTTAGCAATCAATGCAGTGAAATTGATATAAAGGATAGGTGTGACGATTAGTTTTGATGTTGGGACACCAAAGTTAAATTATGTGTACTGTGAATTTTATTGGATATTATCGTTTTATTTTAGGTCGTTTCTATTCAGACCTACTGGAAATTGTGAATAGTAGTTGTACTTTGGTGATAATAATTATGGAAGAGGCAGGTATGCTACGGAAGGTGGTATCGTCGACTAGGTCTATACACTTCTCAATTGACTATCACTCTCTCTATCGTATGCTACTTATAATCAGTGTGCGTCTGTGGGAATCGGCTGCAAATCTCACTTCAACGCTTTTCACTCGTATAACATTAAAACCAAATCAACACAATGTTGTCAAAATAAACATCAAGTAACATGACATGGCTAATGGATTTGTATTTAACGATAAAAATGTATACAAAATAAACTACAATTAATCAGTAAAATATTTTATTTTATAAATACATTGCTGCTTTGGTAAATACCAGATTAGAGTAGCAGGTCAAAAACCATATTTGCCAACACCTTTATTTATTCTAAACAAATAAGTTTTACTAAATCTAAATCCTCGACAAAATTTAATCAATCAACTGACGTTATTCCAAGCTGCTTGAGAACTTCGGGGACGTAATCATCATACTGGGCGACAAAAAAATTCAGACTGATAGGATCGCTAAGGTTGTATTTTCGGGAAAACTTCTCAACCGAAAAGTTTCGTCTTCCCCGGTAACTCGTGTCCAAAAGAGGTTCGTCAAATGTGATATTTCCGCTCTGTTTGTACAGAAGGAATACATATCGGTGTAGACCCGTTCCTTTAGGAGGTCCAGAGCCGACATACTCTGCTAGATTATCTCCGCTCGCTACGTCGTTCCCCGGGATGTTTCCTACAAGCCAGTGAAGGAACTGGGTGGAAGCATCAGGGTCGACCATGGATAGCAAGAACCAAGAGTCACGGTCCGCCCAGTAGTCGACAACTGGTGGAAGTTTCACCTGCGTCGGTGTCAGCTCATTGCCGTAGTCCACGATGTTGTTAGCGTAGGTTAGTTTCAACGCAAGGCTCCATCGCAGCCCTGTCACGACATCAGGAATGATGTTCAGAAGAGGCGCAGCTCTCCCGCAACACTCTGGGTACGTCTTTGACACATCCTCGGGGGTAACGATCCATCCTGGAGCCAGCCCGATGGACGCACACCTAGAGACAAACGGTAAAATACACTAATCTGTAGCTCTATCTTTGGTATTAGCAATCTTGATCATCTGCGGCAAGGTTGGATTACAGAACAACAAAAACCCATAGAAAACACGTTGAAAATCAATTATTAAAGTTTGTCCACTGCCAAATATACTCATATTCATGGTTTCAAAGCCACTTCAGTACAAATAACATAGAACAAACATAAAATATTAGTAAACAAAAAACACATACTCAACCTTTCAGCATTCTACATTCATTCACACAGAAATCAGATGTTTGGGGGAGCATGATGTTTCGATGTATGCTTGTATGAGGAGTTCACCAAGTGTGTTGTAAGGACTAAGGAGTGCACTCAAAAAGAAAAAGTACGATTAAGTGTAGGTGCCGCCAAATACATATCGTCCAGTACAATCAGTGGCAGCAAAATAGGTTTTTACAATGCACCTGCTACGGTGTATAGTTATACATGTAATAAGAATGCGATTACTATGTACTTGATTGTCCAAAGGGAGGAGTAGATAATGGAAGATCGCAGGGGTGCCCATCCCCCCCAAACCCAGAGGCGCAATCCCCCCCCCCAAGCCACAGGAGTAGTTCCCACAATTTATGCTGCCGTCTATTTAAACCTACCCTCCTCCCACCAATTTATCTGACAATTTTCCCTTTACCTCATAAAACGAGCATTTTAAGTATTTAGTAAACTTGAGGTACGAAAAACAAACTTGCTGATTATCAAAATTAAATGCTTAATAGGAAACGTCATTTAACAATACATCATTATATCTAATCTAACTAATGGACGAATTAGAAGTTTTTCAATTTACAATTCAGAATCTGTATTGTCAGCCAACATGTGCTCAGTATTGCAATAGACAACGTCTTCAAAATGTACAAAAATATACTCGGTGAATTACTCTACTCCAACACAGTGTGGTGTTAATTTTTACAGAGCTTAAGAATTCAAACAGCTTTAAGTGCATTAATAATACTTTGGCAAAAAGTATCTTGTTTCAAAATTATAGTCAGAGTCATGAAATGAGACAGACTTGTTGCTCGCCACTCCCAGGCTGCCTTCAACAAAAATATTGCCGGGCAAAATATCCACAATACTTTAATTACCACCAGTACAAAAGGTTTTTGTGACGAAGTGAAGTTATCTTATAATTCATTTTGATAGCCCCGGGATTGCCTTTTATGACTAATAATGGTAGAAACGCATCTTGTCAGACGATCCGTTTGTACACAAAACACGAAACGATAACAGATAGGCCTATCAATTCACGCGTGTATATTGCCGCGGGCAGGACTGGAAGTAAACTGAATCAGGTGGTGACGGAAAGACGTGGTCTCAGAATTGGCGTCTGTGTTATCAAAAGCTGATATTGGACTAATTATTGTAGGGACGGAGGAGAGTGTTGAAAATATAATGAGATTCATAATTGAGTTTTCCATTCAAAATTATTGACAATAATAACCAATTTATATGCTTGATATAAATGATGGTCTCTAAATTCTACAGTACTGCGCGAAAGGAAATTTGTTAAATACTTTGAGGTGTTTAAAATATAAATACATAAAACTAGGAACAGAAAAAAATTTTTGAGTGAAAACACTCAAATAATTATGAATCCTATTATATTTTCAACACTCTTCTCAGTCACTACAATAGTCCAATATCAGCTGTTGAAAATGCAGACGACAATCCATCAGAGACCACGTGATCGGTCCGTCATAACCTGAACCTGATTCAGATTACTTCCAGTCCTGCCGACAGAACGGCAATGTACACGCGTGAATTCAAAGGCCTGTCTGTAATAGTTTCGTGTTTGAGTTAAATGTTTGTAACGTATTCTGACGACACCTCCAGAAGTGGATCTTTTGCAAATCCTGACGATGGTGGAGTTAAAGAACCACCAAAACATATGTAGCAAGTAAAATTCGACACTGGTATATTAAGGATTGTCTGACAAAGTGCGTTTTTACCATTCTTAGAAGCAATCTTAATTACGAACGGCAAAATGTTGTTGTTGTTGATAGTTAGCTACTTAGAAACACTTTTCGGGCTACTTATACAAAATTATACATTCATTATGACAGCTAGCAAGATAATATCCCCCCCCCCAAAATCCCTTAAAATAGCCCCCCCAAAAATTCCTGTGGCGCAAACGCGCCACAGTACCCCCCCTCTGGGCACCCCTGCGGAAAGGAATTTACTGTAGCATTGACTAAAATTATTGCCTTTTAAGTTTAAACACTAAAGTTAATAATAAAAGTTAATTATCTAAAGTTATGTGAACCAGTGGTAAAGAGTGTAGTGTTTTTGGCTTCTTGGGACATCAAAATGAAAAACTTAAACCAATCCTGGCTCTTAGTCTTACCATACTACCTACAGTCTTATCTTTTTTCTATGGGAAATTCACTAAAACTACTACGTCCTGTATTCCGATTGTCAAATATTTTTCTGGTCATCTCAAAGCCAATATTAGGGGTTCTACTGTGCACTGTCTAATTAAACAATCTTGCAAAAATTAGTCCAATTTCATCAATTGGCTGCCAATCACTTACGCCTTCATGATCCATTGGTCAGTGCCAGCGCAGGCTCGGTAGACACACTTGCCAGGAACGTCGACTTTCTCCCCTACTTTGACTACGTGGTCGTCCACCATGCAGTCACCTGAAACTGTACATAACGTTTGTAAAGGGTAATATAGTTTCAAGTTTCATTGGAAATGAAGGTAATATTTAGCAAGAAAACCAAGTGGTTTGTTGAGAATTATTTTGAGAATGGATAGATTTCAGTTAGCTTACCAGAGATTATTTTAAATATTTTTGAATATTGCGACTCTGTCACACTGATTTGATTTGATTTATTGCGTATATTGATTATTGGCAAAAATAATTGAAAATATTGAATGAATGAGATCACACCTTAGTTTCTGACTTGAGTTGGTTGGTTTTTTCCAAGATCATTTATTGCCCAATGATCTAGGAAAACTGAGTCCAGTTTCGAACCGTTAAAATTATTTTGTGTTTTCTCAGGATCGAATCGGCAACTATCTGATACAGCTTCTCAGCTGTATCTAAAAGAGCTTAACCTTATCGTAATCTTTTTTCCCATACATTCTTTAATGGGATATCTACTTTAGTTCTGGAGTATCTAAAAGTTGATTTTCTTACACTAAGTGTATACTATTGTACATACACTATAAACTATAAATTATGCAGAGTGTCCGGTCTAGAGGTATCAAGAAAATAATAATTCTGTTAGTGGTTTTAATTTGGTAATTTAAACTAAAAATCATAGTACATAAATCTCAACCTAATGATTATTTTTACTAAGGTGTAAAGTAATTAAAACACAATTGTTGGCTTTGAATCCGTAAGACCAGTCTAAGTCATCCTGCTGTCACAGTTTTCATTTAGATGTACGTTTATTATATTAATGAGTATTTTAAAACTTAAAATATGGAATGGTAGCGTTTAATTTTGAGCATATTGATGTTTACTAAATAATAGTGCACTCTTGGTTGTTTTCATATATTAGCATAGTTATTTTAAAATAAAAATACATTGTTATATCAAACAAGTTAGTTGTTTCTTGATACAAATCGCCCAGAAACTCTGCTCTATGCATAAATTATTACCTGAATGTGCAGTCAAGCAAACACTGAGCAGAGAAAACAATGATGGAAGTATCCGAACCATTTTGAGTCATCAGCTGACATACAACTGGTGGGAAGACTTGAAACTCACACCAACACAGTGTAAGATATGTGATGTTCTAGCTAAAGATTTAAATATTCACACGGCCTACGCATAACAAATGAAGGCTTTTTGTTAATGTGTTGAAAGTTTGAAGTCATCTGGTGGCCTTGAGGAATATGTTTGCATCTTTGTGCTGCACACTTGCCTCAAGGAAAACAAAGTAATTTATGGAGATGATGTCATAGGAATTTCCATTGAGATTTATTAGTGAATTTTACGCTTTTGGTTGATATGACTCTGTTATTAGTCAATCATACCACTGAATAGTATTTTGGTACTTTTAAAATACATATGCAAATAAATATATAAAATGACTCTTATTAATACTTACTTTCCAGGTCCGGAAATCAGACTTCGCTTTTCCAAAAATTAGCTACCGATATGGCTTTGTCATTCGCATGTAAAAGATCATCTAATGTGCAAGACTTGTCTAGGCGTGAGCAGATCAGCAGATGGCCAGGATCCTGAACAGCACCACACGCGCACAAGATGTTTTCTTCGTCTGGTAAGAGACCCCATTTCTGCATGTTTGTCTTGCATTTTGGTACCTCGACCCTAATTCGATTTAGGGTCTTCCACACCGTGTAATGAAAGCCTCCACCAGGAGCCAGTTCCTCCCTGGCTGGTATGGGAGGGTTAGTCAACGTGGCCTCCCACCTTGCCACCCGATTGCTTGATAGTGATCCATCCAGGGCTCATGTCCGTGATAAAAAGCTCTTTCTGGACCGAAGCCGTCGCTCTGCAGGTTGGTGGTTGTGTAATGGGTGACTAGGGTCTTTCTCTTGCTTAGTCCTTTCTGCGTCGGCAGCGACATCACGTCGGATTGATGGAGGTGCGATCCCCATGATAGGATAGAGTTTGTGTACTGGGGTTAAATCTACAAAAGCGACACCCGTGATCTGTTTTCTCTCAAACCCATCCTCAATGTGCTGGGTCAGGTTTAAAACTTGGCCACAACAAGACTTGCCTGATCGAAAGCCTGCCTGTTGTGGAATGATCTTTTGTTCCAAAAAATCGCTTAATACAACAACAGGTTAATATTAATAGTATTAATAATACAACAGGTTATTTATCCTACTAATATTTTAAGTAAGAAAGTTTGGATGTATGGACGTATGGATGTATGAATGTATGTATGTATGTATGTATGGATGGATGGATGTATGTGACAAGTAAACGCAAAAAATACTAAACCGACAAGGTTGAAATTTGGTATGATGATAGCTCACATTCTCGATTAACATATAGAAATATTCTTACCTCAAAAATCCTTTCTGGCTCCACCCCATTGGCTCTGGAGTTTCTCATGTTAACCTTATGAGTATTCATATTTAAAGGAATTAAAGAATTTTGTCAGCCGTTTCAGCTGCACAAGTTGGTTCTATGATATTAAATAGCATTAAAAAGTTATAAGCCTTACCAACAAGGTGCAGCACTATTATGTTGTTTGCATTTTATGACAACAGGTAATTTGAACCAACTAGCAACAAAAAGTTGTGGTACACAATGAGAACTTTACTTTTTTCAATGGTTTAGGTGCAGTGGTAGAACATTAGGGCTATGGTAGATGTGTGCTACACTATATTTATATTGTGAATATTTAGGCATGCACTGTGGATGCGATACTCTCTGGTGTGGATTAACGTCCGCACGAGTGAGTACTACGACTATCCGCAGTACTATTGTGATAATTAGTCCAATTCGTATATACCAAGGCAAAAATGTGGTTCAGATTCCACTATAAACTGTAGGTCCCTTAGTTGCCATTAGCTGTATGGGCTATTAATTAACAGCTGTGTCTAAGGAATATGTCGTCCTTAGTCACTAACAAGACTACAAGATCGCGCCACTCATCCTACACTCATCTCCATTCATACTTGGCTTAAAATACCTACTTTGTATGGTCGCCATTTCATAGAACAGTATTAAAAGTATTAAAGTATAGGATACCGTATAAAGTAAAAGAACAAATTTTCTTAAACCCTGTCCTCTCTCATAACTGAAATGAACATTTTATACTTATATGCCAACCCCGTACAAAGGACGGGTACTCTGCTAGTAATCTATATAATTAATACGCTACATGAAACTTTGTCGGTTGAACTCCTCCGCCATTTCTTAACCGATTTTATCCATTGACGTCTCATTGGAAAGAGCGTGTCGCGTAGATTTGCAAACTGACCTTACATTTTTGAAAAAGTCCCTTGGGCTCTGCTCCAGTGGCTGTTAAAATTCCCATGTTATCCTTATGAAGAACATGATTGTTTACATTTTGATCAGCTGTATATTTTAATTGCTGTTATTTTTCATTTCAAAGTCTTTTAAACTCATCGGAAATTATAATGACTTTTATTTGTTTTTAAATAACTACTTTACTTCTTTGCAATTGCTCGATTTCGAGCAACGTGTTTACTAGTTATTAATAAATGCACGCATCTTAACTCAACACAAAATCTAATTCATGAATTTTTACAAGACAAAAACAACAGAAAACATATGATAGTAAAAATAGGTACAAATGAATTATTAACAGTCTTAGAGAAGACATAACAATATATATACTTTAGTACTGTACTTCTAACTTTCCCATTAAGTCACAATTTGGTAGTTTGAAAAAATAGGTTCAATATGACTTAAATTTTAGCTTATTTAGTACCTCGACTTAATCATGTGTAAAGAAGAATAACTGGTTCCCTAGCCAGGATCATGTGTATAAAGCCGAGTTCAAGGATAAGCTGGACCCAATTTTAAACCACCGAACATTCTAAGGGTTGAACCGGTAACAAAACAATCTCTGCCGAGATTTCAACTAAACGTTCGACAGTGTAGCTTGAAATGATTATCACTCAATATACTTTGTTTCTCAAAACTGGCCCACTCCGACCCGCGTTTTGTATGTGATGCGATAGGGGTCTGAGAGATAACTGTACCCTCTCCACCCATCATACGGGGAAATTTTCTTGGGCCCGGCCCTGAATCTACTGCTCAGACACAGCGATTAACCTTCCTTAGCAACTTTCTTGAAGACATTTTTGCTCTATACCTAACACACTTGAAACACGTCTTGACTCACAAGGGGAGTGTAATTTGACTATTCATTTAATACTATGCTTCCATAAAATAGAAAATTAATTTCAAAAGTTGTCTCTTTTAATTTACTCAGTTGCAATAAGTTAAGTGTCCTTTTAAAGTTCAATTTTGGTGCTTGAAGGATTGTTGCAGACTTTTCGTTCTAACCTATCATATGTTTCAGGTTTCATTTTGTATTTTGTATTTTCATTTTGTTCTGAGTACTTTACAGTTTCCTGTGTTATTAGGCCTATTCTTTGTGATTTTCCAGGTTTTTGAAACTGTGGTTTTTAAATCTTGTTATGTTTTAGGTACTTTCTTAGCTGGAAACAAGATCAGATCCTTGATTGTAATGAAAACTAGTTTTTTTACTAATTATGATGGGAAGTCTGTAATAATCGCTCAAACACCAATTATAGCCGAGTTTAGAATTACACATCTTTTGTCACAAACCGTCTCAAATGGTAACACATTCTACCTTTTTGTTAATAGTTCTAAAGCTTTAGCATGCAAATAACAACTATTATTATGAGTAACACAAAGAAATAGGTTTTCATCCTATAAAATAGGAATAGAAAACACTCTGATTATACAAAAGTTTTAAATATTTAATCTCAGTTCAATAATACACAACAACACAGTCAGCACAGTTCAACATACACAATCATTCGTCTTTGAATAAACAATATTTACATTTCATTTTGAGGAGCTGCTCCAAGCTGCCTTGCAGGGGTACAAGGAATTCACAGGGACTCAAGCTATTCTCCCTCACCGAGCCGATGGTTCAATGTTTTTAACCTTGTTGCTGTTTTCTTTTCTCGAACCAGTAGTTACCGGAAGAAGTAGCGCTGGGTTGTGAGTTGTAACCGTTTTGTGGTTGTTGATAGTTGTTGGGGCCAGATGGCTGGTTGGAGTAGTTAGGTTGTTGTGGTTGTTGATAGTTGTTGGGGCCGAATTGTTGACCTGGCTGGTTGGGGTAGGAAGGTCGTTCAGTTTGTTGCCAGTTGACATTAGGTTGTTGTGGTTGTTGGTTGAAACCAGTCTGTTGACCTGGTTGTTGAGTTTGTACCCAAGGTCCGAGGCCAGGTTGTTGTGGATTTGGATTTTGACCAGGTTGTTGACTGGAAGCTCCCCATGGGTTGTTACCGTAGTTTTGTTGACCCAACACATTTCCAGATGGTGAGCTAGTCCCTGAGAGCTGTTTTTGAATTTCCGGTACATAACTGTCATACATGGCCTGAAATACATTAACACTTTCGGGACGACCGAGACGATAATTTTTGGCAAACTTCTTAATGGAAAATTTTGGTCTCCACCCAACAGAGTTCTTGTTTATCCTTTGCTGATTGATATTTATTCTTCCTGGTTGCTTGTAAAGCAAGAAGAAGTATCTGTGTAGCCCAGTCCCTTGCGGGGGTCCTGCTCCAACATATTCCACGATCGTTTCTCCGGACTTGATGTTGTCTCCGGGAATGTTCGCTACCAACCAGTGCAGGAACTCTCTGTTTTGCGGATTCTGTCTGCTCGGTGCGTCCGGATCTACCATGGCAAGGAGGTAGTAGGACTTGGGATCCGCCCAGAATGTGTAGTTTACTTCTGGTTCTCCTTTAACCTGAACAGAAAAAATCAAAATTCTCAATGATTATATAGATATGTATTCGACGGAACATATTTTTATTTGTTATACAATAGCATTGAATATTGGATAGTCAAAGGTTATAGTCTACACCTGTGGTATCATAAGTTAGAGAGCCACAAATTCTTAAGGAAAGTAGTTTAAATCAGCAGTTTAAGCATGAGACGGAAGTTCATATTCATAAATATGCAACCGTAATATTTTACTCTAAAATGATCAAGCAAAACATAATATCAATTAATCAGATACATTCTACTACTTATTGGACAACTACACTAATAACTAGTTCTATTCCAAGGGAGAATCTTTTTGGACCTAGATGACATTTCATTTGGGCCGGTGTTCGACATTAACCAGACCATGGTTTTAGACCGATCACTCAAGTTTACTTTTAAAAAACGACTAAAAATACCAATGTTATTGAAACAAAAACACTCAAAAAAAGATATTATTGTTTGTATATTTCATGCTGACTACAATAAATGAAGGGTATGTGTAAAAGGGGCTTAGATTACTTGCGATTTTTTTTACTGACCACAACAACCTTACTTGTTTGACAAGGATTAAGGGCAGAGTAATGGGAGAGGGGCATGGAGGTAACACCCCACCAAACAATTGATTCCGTTATTTAATTCAGTCGTGTTTCAATAGCTCCTAAAAGCAAACAGGGTCATTTTCCAGGATTGTTAATGCTTTTTTGAAGAAAGCTAAATCATCAGCAATCTGTTAAATTTTATTTTACTTTTTGTTTGTGAGCTAGATTGTTTACCTGAGTAGGGGTCAAGGTAGTGCCAACATCAACTGTCACACCTGGACCGTAGTTGATGGTCATATACTCAGTTCCCGGTTGTGAGTCGAGCACATCCGGAACAATATCCAGTGGAGGAATCAAGTGAGCGCAACACTCTGGATACTTGGCTGTATTAGAGGTATCCTCGGTGGTTGAACCCCAGCCTGCTGGAACTCCTAGATATCCACATCTGAAAAGTAAATATCAGACTAAATAATTACTTAAATCGATCAATGGTAAAAATGGCTGCTGTTTTGGTACCAAAAGCATCAATTTGTATGCTTTCCACTAGATCAACCTTATTGCGGACCTCCTGAATGGCAATAGTCACAGAGAAGGTACGGCACAGAGGAAACACGCTTATTGGACTCTGGTATGTTTTGCGGGAAATATACTTGTGATGAGCATGGAAGAGTGTGAATGGCTCTAGACACCAGTACTAGTGCTAGACACCACGTGTACCATGGAGTGTATCATCTGTTCCTTACTCATCTGTTCCATCCCCCCCCCCCCAGGACGCTAGGCACAAGCCTGTCATTGTTTTTCACATTATTTCAGGCTAGATCTAGAGGTTGCGGCATTATCATTTAGATGAAATCCATTGGTGATTTGGCTGGATTTGAACTCGGGACCTCAGGGAGCAAAGTCCCGTGATCTAACCACTACACCAATTACATTTTACCCATTTATATTTTATATTTTATAGCTCCCCATCTGCGCCATAGAGATAGAAGTGGGAAGGAGCCAAAGAAAAGAGTGTTTCGAAAGCTGAGTAAAAGCAGTTAGGGAAAATAACTCGTTGAAACTCAATGGCAATGGGGTGAGTAATTAAAACACATTAATAATAATGCACCTTCTCTCTCTTCAGCCGTTTGAGTGTGCAGTAAATTACTTGTTTCATGCTAGTGACACATTATCAAATCCGACACCAAATTCAGATTGTGTAGTGTCAGCTGTACAACCTCCGTCTGTCTGATCCAAAAGTGTGGCCGCCTTTCGTTTTAATCTTTTTATTGTTCATTTTGTGTTGGTACGTGTGCAATGATGAAGATGTTTGTGGGATCAGTCTAATTTGATGTCGGATTGGACAATGGGACACTCGACTTATAAATGATTATGTTAATTCTATGATCAATAATCTATGATAAATTTAAGTAGCAATTGTACTTTCTTCCTATTACTAGGTATGTACCTGTATAAAACAGTGAATTTACAAGATCGAAGATATTCTAATTCTGCATTCTTACAAGCAACAAATTAATTTCATACCACAATAGTTTTAAACGATGTGTCATCATTTGGTTGCAAATATGCAATTGTTAAGTAAGAATCTAGAAATTCACTGTTAAACCGTTATAAATGAATAATTAAATTAACAAAATAACATTACTCAATATCAAGAGATAGGTAGCTTTTTGATGGTTAAAAACTGGTCTTCTATCATCTTAGTAACAAAGCCCAACCATCTCGTCCATATGTCAAAGAAATCTTTAAGTGTTCAACTTACGGTCCCGTGGTCCATTCCCCGTTGCCGATACATTTGTGCAATCTGCATTTGCCTGGTACGTCTACTTGCTGACCTAGTTTTATTTTTTCTCCACTGTCTAACGTGCAGCCTTTTGGGCGGTTCTGTTTTTGTCCTAAAGTAGAAAATAAAACAAATAGAATCTCATCTTTCCATTTTTTGGATTGCTGATATTTAATAGCCTCTCCCTTTCTCATACTACATATAATATGATGATATCCATCAGGAACATAAAAAAAGAACACCATAAAGACACATAGGTAGAGAATGGATATCAAATAAACTTCTCTTATTGATTTTTATTGTAACCTAATTGAGTGGGGCAACTTACTCTTTATGATAGATATACAATCGACATATTCAAAATTTTGTGAATTATTAACTTTTTTCATCTAATCATATTATTATTCTTTATGCCTCAGAAATGAGTTTTGAACTTTGAACAGAAAGAAAAGGCAAAGAGAAAACCGAGCAGATGAGATTAAGGAAAACCAGCTGTAATCTATAACAAAAATACTAGAACAAAGAACTCTCAACGGCCAAAGACTGATGAATCAGCATAAGGACATTACACTTTATTCTACCTTATCCTTGCAAAGACTTAAAGACTTTGTCAGAGCGTGAATATGTTAAGAAAAACCAACCTTCTGTAACGCAAGGTTGTTTCCAGAAGACGATCAAATTCATATACATTTAGTATTGGGGCATGTACCGTCAAATGCATGGTGTTATGTTTAGTTTTTCCAGTACTGGTACAAAAGTATTTTTTTTAATAAATTTAACATCTACATTTTACCACAGACAAGGAAATAAGACAAGGGAATGATATACTTCCTTATTTGTGATTTTAGGTGAAAATACTAGTATAGTCAATGCTCCTAGTAGGGCCTATGTAATGGTAGCCAAAACCTGCTTAACATTTTGGACAAATTATCCTCAAGCATAAGTTAAAAGTATATAATTTTGAAAGTTACATCCTTAATTTTCTCAAACAGTTTAAAGTTATCAAAAAAAGCTCAGTTAAGTCTAAGTTCAGTCATGAATAAATAAATGATCAACTTTAATAGGAGGTTGAACAAGTTTTTGTTGTTTGTAAGCAACATTTGTATACAATTTTTAAAGACAATAACTCTATCTTATGAAATTGTCTATTTCAATACATCTGTAATTTAAATACCAGTTTAAAATGAAGGTAATAAAGAAGAAAATTGTAAAAGACATATTCAAATTACCGAAATGTACTTAAAAATTGTAAAATCATCAGATCAGAATGTTTTATCATAGTAACACGGAAGTGAATTGTTAAAAATAAACTATAGAATTGAACAAAAACAAATTTTACACTATGGGGATATCCATACTATAGTCTATGACTCTCTTTATTGACTTCTTTATTTATCACCCTTTATTAATAATAACTTGTATACAATATTTTGCCAATATATCTCAAATATTAATTTTCAACTTGTGATGTGTTCATCCAAAATATTTTTTTTTTGTAACCATTCTTTTTTAGAATAAAACTCAATCAACATAATCCAGAAAAGGAAGGAAACCTAACTTTAAGCACCTTAAACAAATCCACCTATGCAAAGTTATAAGGAAAACTGTGATTCCACATTTTTGGGACCGGTTTAGCAAAGAAGGAAAACTCCTAAAAAAATTCAAAAAAATGTTCATATTGAACAATTTTAGGTTAAAATCAATAAGTTCTAAAACATTTAATCATTTATTACAAAAACTCACTTAAAAACCTATTTATTTATTTTAAAACAACTGAAATTTTTATTGATTGACCCACGATTTTATTGACTTGACCAACTAATCGTAATATTACAACAAACAACAAAATCTTCACCACTCACCTCTTCCACTCACTATAACAGCACAAATAACTAACACAATACACTTATCTAAATACATTGTTGAGTCTTTCACTAATAATGTCCAGAGGCTAACTGAGCGGGATGTCCAACTGAGAAGATATAAACTGGTTCGGTTGGCAACACTGTGACTGACCTAAACGTTGGCACCACTTGTGGTGGGGACAGGAAATAAACAGTTAATATTAAATGCAAACCAATTGTATGTTTCTTATGAAGCTTAATGGACTGTTAAAGATAATTGCTCTTCAAGTTTAGATCAATTATAAGAATTGATAGCTGATATCCAAGTAAAACTACTAGCCAAACCAAACCAGGAAATTTGCTTGGTAAAATAGAATGGTTTTCCCAAGCATCACTATTTTCCCTATCACGATAACTGACCAGGTCACTAACCTTGACCTCTAGTTGTTTTTGATTAAGTTTCTTTGGTGGATTCAAGCTATTTCAATAATTATCAATTAAAAGTTCAAGTATTCCTTAAAGTGTTATGTCTGGTTGTTTTTGACCAGATCAATCCAGGGCAGTGGGGCTCCCACAAAGTTGTTTGATTTCTACTTTTCTGTTCAATTTTTTTACAAGTTATCATTTGCTTTGGTATTTGATCTTGTCAAAGCTTTGTAATTTATAAGTACAAACCCAAGAGAATTGTTTTACAAGCGACCCTGGAATATTATTATTTTTAAGAGGGGGGACTATATAAGCATTCAATAGAGGTATCTCTGTATTAGGTGATGTGTGGTTGTACTGTTAATTAATTGGTGTTTATTAATTTATTTCCAAACTGATTATTTAATAATATAGCTAACAAATATTTATGAAATCTGTGTGATTAGACTATTCTAAAGCTGAAAGTGTGTGTCTTAGTTTGTTAGACATAATGCAATTGCATATAATTGTAGAGGAAATAAATAAATAAGGAAAAATTTAAATTTTCACTACCTATCTAACACCTTACATTTTCTTCAGTCCATCCATAAGGATATCAAATTATGATGAGGGATTTCATGTCAACCCAAAACGGATATTTCCTCTTAAAAATCAAAGTTTGAAAATATTTATGAACATAATCCTTTCTCCATATGTACTGAAAAAGAAACCAAAGTTATACTTGGAAAAGTATTTTTCTATTGAAGCAAAAGTACTTGTTTAACCTTATGTTATTTAAATCTAATATATTAATAGACAAGCATGTTTCTTTAAAACCTTTTTTCTCAGCTCGTGTGCATCGCAGGAAAAATCTACACATACTGTTAGAAAGATATTTTCCTGTAGATGTGCTGAATCCCTTTATAAATTAAAACAAGCTCAAAAAATCACTAAAATTAATTTAAAATAAAAACAATTTACATGGGCCTTATGGGTTGCTGTTGCCATGCTTGTGACAAAATAAAAACGATAAAGAAACAGAAAATAAAAACAAATGGAAGACTGCTACACAATCATTACATGCTTCATTTACAGTGTGGAGTGAAAATAAGAGAAGTCTGTATATTACATTATTTTTGGTGGAGTTTTCGACCACTGGACGACCTGTAGTAGGGAATAAATCTAAATCTTACATGTTTAAGGAAACGATAAAAATCCAATCAGGAACATATAAGTTTGTATAGTCTGCAGGTTTGCAGCGGCAGGGGAGAAGAAGCAAAGTACCCTACTTATAGGAGGAAAAGACGGAAAACATGTGACACTCTTGAATATTCAAAGTAAATCAATTCAGATGGAAACTTGTTTGGAAGATGTAAATTACAATTGGTTTTCCCTAATCTTTCAACAGCTGGGATCAGTGTACAGTCAGTGCAAGCCTGCAGAACCGGTTTTAAGCATATTGACCTTGTTAACACTGCCTACACATAGGAAAGCTTGAACTGAAACTCATAACACTGAACAGGACTGTAGTGAAAGATGTTAACAAGGTATTTTCTAGTGGTACTGTGTGTGGCATCAATCTTTGCAGAGGTACAAGGTAGGTATTTAAGTTCAAAGTTAGTCTGGTTAAAAACATATTGCAAACTTTCTATCACACTCTCTAATCTAGATTATAAGTTTCAAGTTACAGGATGTAGGAAACTGGTTCTATGATGCATCTAATACTAAAAAACGTAAAATGCTTTCAAATGATTATTAAAACTATTGTTCATGTAATAATATTTATGATTAACTGACAAACTGATTACAGTACTGTATTGTACTTCAAATCAAATGATCTTTATTCATTTGTAGATACATATTTCGTTTAAATTCTATGGTAGAAGAGTTACAATATTATTGTGATGATTAACTTTATCTCTAGAATTTTCAGAAGCCACAGGGTCACTCTGGTTTTCCCCCAGATTTTCCTCTTACTTAGAACTCTTCCTTAACTATAATCGATTAATAGTTAAGCATATAAACAAAAAAATCTTCTACACTCTACAAATTTGAGCAACGTTTGAATTTCCATTTTATACATGAAGAATTCAGCGTCCACGTTAGATTTTTGATCAGAGAATTACTAAATTAATCATTGAAATACTCAGTATTTTGTCAGGGAACACTTATTTTTTAATTAGGGAATATCCTGTTTTCTCAATTAATACTCAGTTTTTTTACTCAGGGAAAACACAGTATTTTCTCAGGAATGATCAGTATTCCTGTCACATCCCTGCTATAATTTCACGATTGATGATACAGTACCGGTACTCCCACGTCAGAGTTTTGAGCTCAATGTGATTTTGACTGGTTTTCTTGATACAAAATTATTAATAGATGTTAACTTTGATTCGAGCTTTATATCATTCTTGATTACACAGGGTGTGGCAAAACAGATTGAATAGTTTGAACCATGTAGACGTTCCGATAGAAGGCATTTGATTGCGTTATGAATTTCTCGTTGAGCCTAACATTATGATTGCATTATCATTCATAAAAATATTTTGTCGGCTGAGAATAAAAATAATTAGATGATGAAAAATGCAGAGACTTGTGTAAACACCTAAGAAACTACTCATATGCTGCTTTGACCAACAAAACATTGTCTGGTGTCTCAAAGATCTTCTGTCCGTTTATTTTAGTTTTAAGAGTGCTACCAATTTCTGTCAACCTGTTAAACCCACAATTATATTGTGTTTGCCCTAGGAGCTATAGGAATAGCCTCGTTGACCCAAGTCAAAACCTACCAGCGAATAGCTCTTTGCGCTACAATCTCTTGTTGTTTTAGAATACACACATACAGCATAATCTCGAACTTGTTCAGACCAAACTATGATGGTGACTGATTCGGTGTGAGTGGCTGATGACAAAAGGACCAATAAAGGACTTTCTAATTCACATTTGGATACACCTGGGCCAAACTGCTCAGTCTGTTTTGCCACACCCTAAAGAGTTCACTGTTTTCAGATGAGAAGACCGCTTGCAAGACAGACGATGGGAAGGAACTGAAAGTCAACGAGCAATATGATAAACCCGGAGCATGTTATGCCAACATCTGCAAAGAAGACGGGACTTTCGCGGTTGGAGCGTAAGCATGACATAAATAACCATTAAACATTGACATTTAAGCCGCAAAGTCAGATATGCTCACGAATATCTCATGAATACATTCACTTGCAAGTATTGAGTATACATACAATTACAACTTAACAGATAGTGTTTTTCCTGACCGATGCTGCAACATCTTCCTCCTTGAAGACAAGTTTTAGATCTATATCAGTTCGGTTTACCAGCAATAGTATGGTGCAGTATCTGGGGTTGGTTTCCACGGTCAATGAAAATCATTGTCTAGGGTTTGAACCTATCTTGTTCCAGTATAGTGAGGGATTTATAAGGATTTCACCTGTCTGAAGTATAGGCTTGTCTAAAATAAATTTTGGACGACTTGGATGGCTGATTGTTTGGAGGATAGATTATTTTTGTCGCTTACAGGATGAACGGGCAATAGTACAAGTATATTTCATATGTACTTACCTACACCTCTTGCAAGAATCGTTTTGTGAGTTGTATTTATAGTTCTGTTCAGTATTCAGACCTATAACTTAAATGAGTCATTGGCAATGAGACATTTACTTTACTATTTTGAGAACCCCAATTAATTTTTGTCTCAATGGTCAAAAGTAGAAGTACTTACACAGTAACTAAATCAATAATCTATATTATTAATACGCTACATGAAACTTATGAACAATAAGGCTTTTTTGTTTTAAGATTTAACCCCACATATTATATACCAAAATATTCGTCTAGGTGTGTAGATTTGCAAACTGACCTTACATTTTTGAAAAAGTCCCTTGGGCTCTGCCCCAGTGGCTTTTAAAGTTCCCATGTTATCCTTATGAAGAACATATTTCTTTACATTATGGTCAGCTGGATAATTTATTTGCTGTAATTTATTTTAATTTAATTTATTTGTTTTAGTTGTAATTTAAGGAAACGTGTGCAAGAACATTGAACAGATTTCTAGATTTAATAATACCAAGATATGTGTACATCTATGAAAACAGAAAAAAAATAATTCTATAACCACTACACCACCATATAGTACCAGTACATATAATTTTACCCGGGCAAAGCCGGGTTTTGCTGCTAGTACTTGATTATTATTGTTCCGGTTATTATTATTTCCTCCAAGGACTTTTTCACAAGCAATATCATTAAACGTTCCATTCCCACACACTAGATTGAACGTTATTAAAAACCAGTGGTATAGTGTGGTGGGTATGTTTGGGAACAGCGTTCCCACTCTGCTCTTTCCAAAAATGCTCTATGTTAGTTTGTCAGTTTTTCCCCCAAGACGATGATGAGCGCTCATGCTTTGAAAAAGGTTTACCACTATATCACTGTTGAAAACCCTCATTTTTTGTTTTAGGTGTGGGATCATAGGGCTACCTCAAGGTTGGGCCACTACACCAGTAGACCCGACTAAAGGATTTCCTGCATGTTGCGCCAAACCTGTCCCACCCCTGGAAATCATACCTGATGTCTTAGACAAGTTTGATCTTGCCAACCAGATGAACCAATTGGAGATCTCCTATGGAGACAACATCACCGTCAACATGGGCAACAAGCTGACCCCGACCCAGGTCAAGGGTCAACCCTCAGTCAACTACACTTCCTGGGCTGACCCTCAGGGGTTCTACCTCCTGGCCATGGTCGATCCTGACGCGCCCAGCGTGATCAACCCTGAAGCACGGGAGTTCCTGCACTGGCTGGTCGGTAACATCCAGGGAACCGACTTATCCTCAGGAGATGTCATTGCTGAATACATCGGTTCTGGTCCTCCCAAAGACTCGGGATTCCACAGATACGTCTTCCTCGTCTACCAGCAGCCTGAGAAGATCATCTTCGAAGAGCCGAGAGTCAATAAAACCACGATTATGTTCAGAAGGAAGTTCTCCATCCGTAAGTTTGCCGAGAAGTACACACTGGGCGATCCGAAGGCTTTGAATGTTTACCAAGCTGAGTATGACGATTATGTTCCCATTCTTCATGCACAGTTTGGACTGAAGAAAGACAACTAGTCTAGGTTAATTTGGATTGTTGGTGTTGTAGTGGTTATAATAAAAGCGTTTATTAAACGTGAGATTTATTGTTCCTGATATACTTGAAAGTTTGACAGGAACCTCACATACTGTTGTTGATGTTTGGAGCTTTGTACTAGGAATCTACACAGTACTAATAGAAATGGAAACTATCCCAAACAGCTTTACCCCTCCTAGTTCAAAATTGTTTATAATACTTTAATACTACTGTATACTTTGAAATTATGACCACACGGATATAGGTATTTTAAGCCAAGTATGAAATGAAGTAGGAAATGAGTGTAGGATGAGTGGCTCGATCTTGTAGTCTTGTTAGTGACTAAGGATATTCCTTCGACACAGCTGTTAATCAATAGCCCATACAGCCAATGACAACTAAGGGACCTACAGTTTATAGTGGAATCCGAACCACATTTTGCCTTGTAATTAACGAATTGGTTTAATTATCAGGATAATACTGCGGATAGTCGTAGTACTCACTAGTGTAGACGTTAATCCACAACAGGGAGTACCGCATCCACAGTGCATGCCTATAAATATCCACAATTTGTGACCTTCTAGTAGCTGGATTACAGGACGACGCCACCGTCCCAGTTATTAGTATTGTCAAGCTACTAGAAATATTCACATGTTTAACCTATACCTGTTATTTTATACAGGTGCATCAGAATACAGCTCCGAGAATTGAGTTACTGATTCTCAGAGAAAGCAATTGTTTTTAAATATATTATATTTTGTATGATAAAAATGCTCCTGGCTAAAGAAACTGCTAGTCCTAGCCAGCAGCAAAGCTTCACAAGCAGTGGTTTATAGTACAGTGGAACACGTTCTTACAAGCTGTAAAAACATTATAAAGTAATAGACTGCCGATATTTTTCCTGAGACGATGATAACGTTCCCATACTGGAAAATGTACGACTACCCACTGTAAGGGTTCTTACTCCATTCTGTACTAATTTTTCATACATACCAATCATATTTGCATTAAAAGTTGGATTCATTTCTAATCAGTTATAATAAGAATAATGCATGATCAATGGGCAATTTAATTTACTCCAAGGTTAGGCAAGTTCCAAGTAGCAGAGATTTGAAAAATCCCTGTATATTTAATCTGTATAAACCAAAACCTGTTTTGCAACTTGAATAATGATGTTGCACTATTCCAATCTGAAGCCTGGGACTGTGTTATGGGGGGAGGGAATAATGTTAAATTCTCTCAGATCAGCTGATAAGCATTCTAGGAAAGTTGAGCTCTTTTCCTCATCACAAAAGGTCAAGCAATAGTGTCTGAAAGATAACCTTTTTTCAGATACTGTGGCATTTCAGATGCTTTTTATAACATTCATTCTCATTGCAGTCATGGTGGACAACTTAACTATGCCACCTTTGGTGTGTCAAAACTATGGCAGAGAAACTTTTTTATGAGAACTTTTCTTTTTTGAATGAACAATTCCTTTCTTAAATGGCTGTTCTTTTAATATTTTCTGATAAATTAATTTATGACTGATTCTACATTGCAGGTTGTATTAAATTTACTTGTTTTGTTACTGTTTTGGAGATTAAATACTTTGCTGGTTGGAAATATTTGAGCTGCTTTATTTCAATACTTAAAGGATCTGTTAAAGGAAACTTTCCAGTGAAAAATAATTATTCTACATACATTTCTATGTAAAAAAATGCAGCTTTCCACAACTACAGTACAAGGCAAAGTTACAACGTCCATCTAACCCAAGTAAATTCCACCTTAATAAAAATGGCCTGTATATTTGCTGCAAGATTTTTAGCAAGATTCCTAATGAAATTAAAGATATTGAAGGTATGGAAAAATTCAATATTTTATTCAAAGAGTTTATTGAAGAGGCTACTAATCACTGGCAGAGTATTTTGAGGAAGAATTAAAATGGCTACTATTTTTATGATCACTGCAATTATGCTTCCAGTGGGAAAGATTCAAGTATCAAGTATGTATTTTAAACTCTACAAATTCAATATTTAGTAAAATATTAAAATTCATTGTTGTAGCCCCGGAACTGTAATATATAAAATATCTGGTTTTATTGGTTTTAAAGGTATTGTAAAACCAGTTATTTAAAATATTAAATGTAGGTAATTAAGTTAAGAAGAAGAAAATTTTATTAATCCTCAATTTTAATAAAAATTACAAAGTCAGTGTGTTTAGGGAAAATCCTTTTCTTGTCAAAATACTAACCAAAGACAAACATGTTATGAACCAAAGACAAACATCCAAAATTGAACAAAAAACAACAACAAAAAAACATGCAGGATGTACATTCAATTCCTCTTGGAAGTGGCTACGCATGACTATGGGAAAGCAAAATTGCAAAAAAAAAACTTGATACAAGTTTTTTTGTTCTTGAAGATTCTATAACTTCAACCAATTTATGATAGAACATAGATTTCAATTGAGAAATGTGTATTCCTCCATGAGAAAAGTAAAAATCATTTTTAAAGCATTGAAAATAACTGTCCAAATACGGCAAAATATTTGTGACTCAGTGGACCTGGTTTTTTCTAGTATTCGTCAGGTAAAACTAATGTAACCAACTAAAAAATTGTCTTCAGCTGATCCATGAATACTATGGTAATGATATTGTAGAGGTTGATTTAAATGCTCCTTCCAAAACGCGCGGTCTTTTCTTCATTCGTCTTCGTTTCTGTTGCCAGGGACATAAATGAAGGGGATTAAATTTTTCTCGACTAAGTACTTTAGAATGAAAAATTCTTAAATTCAAACACATCGTCTAAGAAAGTGCTAAGAGACTATATCAATTCCAGTTTTCAATTTTTGTGTGGATATGGTCAAAGATTTAACATACAGTGCTCGATTGATTATATGTGTGTCTTCTGAACTAAATGTTATCTTATATTTTGCCAGTTTTTAGTAAAGTGAATTACCTGAATATACCTGAATACCTGCTGCGACGTCGTTGACCAGAATTTCTGGATAGACTGTGTCATAAACTAAAAATAATATTTACACTATTATTTTCTAGAATTTTCACCGATCAACTTTAAAACAAGTTTAACTAAATATAAGACTATTTGTAAATTATTCTGTGTAAACCCTCTTTAAAAGAAGAGGAAAGCCTTGATTTGCCGTCAACACTTTTAAAAGTATCTGTACATGAAACACGGATCTCTATAATAGCAGATTTTACAAATAAGAAAATTATTACTTACAGTAGGTAAGTCAGCGATTTTACAAAGAGGTTACGGGGGAAAAAAAAAATACCTCCGCTGCAGCAAACCTGAAGACTATTTCCGTTTACCGGATGATTTACTCATAAACATTTCCAAAAAATGTCGAATTCATTCCCTTTTTGAATAAAATTAGGCTTAATGAGTTATTAGGTTTTGATTATACAAGAAATTAAAAAAAGTAAAACGATTCAGAAAGAAATTGATAAGTTTTATGCTAAAATGTCAAAACGAGTGAACCCAATTTTCCCCCACCAAACCTTCTTTCCTTAGTCCAAACCTGCTGGTTCGCAAACACGTTCGAAGAAATGTAGGTTAACACGTTTTTACAGAATTTCATCAAAATCGGATAATTTTTACTCGAGTGCCAACATAACAATTTGAAAGGATGCTGGCCTCTGGAGACCAACAAGTAAATCGGTCTGGGGCTAGGTGTTACACCTAAAAAAAAGTCGGGACCACGTAAGTTTGTAGTTGGTGGCAGCCAATCACAAGACAAGGCCAGTGCGACGTTGCCACATCGCCCGTTGACAACACTAATTAAAATATACTAAGCAATATTTTAAAATCAGCTGGTATTATTAGATTTGGCAAAAACACACGGTTCTCATTGGTTAATTCAAAACCATATGGTAAATAGGCTCCTCCCTTAACTGCAAACTTATGTGGTCCCGACTGTAGGGTAATAACTTATTTCCTATATTTGATAAAATTTACATTTAACACTTTTGGAGGAAAATAAAACTGATGTTCCCTTGTTCATGGATATTTTGATCGAATTTAGCAAATTAGTTTATGTGATTCTATTCTATTAACATTTGATAAGGAAATCTTTCCCCTTTCCCGAAGCAGCAAACCTACTCATGTTATAAAAATAGGGAATTAATAATATGCCTAACATTCACTAAAAAATCATTTAAAATATTGAGTATATACACCATATAAGATATACCCTACAGGACAATGGACAATGGACAATGGACGCTATATACATAAGTTAGTCTCCTCGAAAGACAATCAAAATTTTTTCCTTCAACTTTAACATGGGAATGAAATAGGCCTACATAACGTTAAAAACTGTCAACGCCATTTCCGTGACAAATCTTCTGTCTTTATCACCGTTTAATTACGTCGAGCCAGTTTGCCCTAGGGAAGGGGTTGCATTTTTCAAAGTGACAACAAGGGACTATTGTAACTTGAAACAACGGACGCTTCTGATTAAAACAGTGGCGGGGTGAACAGGTAAGCCGGGCGGCAAAAAATTGAAACAAAACGCTCTGTCCCTTACGATTGTTTCAACCGGGTCTTTAGGGTTGGATCTAACTGGAAACAGTCATTGTGAGAAAGGACAAGTTTGGACGTTGTGGAATAGATTAAAGTGGTGTAAATTCTCCAATGTAGGAAGGCTAAACTTTGTCGTGAGGAAAACTCGGACCGCCTATCAAAATAGGACTTTGGAAAATCTGGTTTTCCCAACCCACTACATCACTGGTTAAATCAGAGTTGTAACATGTAAAATTTGTTTGAGAAATTCTTTAGGAAGTTTTTCAAAGAATCTCTATCACTCGGGTTTTCACAAAATGATATCATCTATAGACGAAAATAAAAGTATATAGAGAGTTCCCCTCAATCTTAATATCGTACCTAAATATCATATTTAAATTGTCCGGAAGTCCTTAGTTACTCACACAGCCGCCATTTTGTTTTTTCAGTTATTAATTTTTTTCTAAAGAATGGTTAAACATACGAAATGGAAACTTTGCACAAAAATTTATGACAACTAGACAAAGCTACAAAAAAATTTTGACGATTTTCAAGTTCATAAAACAAAATGGCGG